ACCTATTGTTTATTAAAATAGAGTCCAATGGCCCTAGCTGGTTTGACTCAGTGGATAGAGCGTCAGCCTGCAGACTGAAGAGTCCCAGGTTCAATTCCGGTCAAGGGCATGTACCTTGGTTGTGGGCACATCCCCAGTAGGGGGTGTGCAGGAGGCAGCTGAATTGGTGTTTCTCTCTCATCCATCGATGTTTCTAACTCTCTATCCCTCTCCCTTCTTCCCTGTAAAAAAATCAATAAAATATATTTAATATATATATGTAAAAAATTTATACCCTCAGTCTAATCATGAGAAAACATCAGACAAATCCAAATTGTAAAACAGTCTCTAAAAATACCGGCCACTATTCTTCAAAAATGTCAAAAGTCATCAGAGGCAAGGAAAGGCCAAGTAACTGACAGATTGGAAGACACAGAGGAGACATGACTGCTAAATACGCAGTATCCTGCTTTGGATCCTAAAACAGAAAAAGGACATTAGTGTGGAAGTGGTGGAGAAATCTGAATAAAGTCTGTAGTTTCACTAATGGTATTGTATCAATGTTAATTTCTTAGTTTTCATAAATATGCCATGGTTATATAAGATGTAACATTAAAGAAAGATGGGCGGAGGGTGTATGGGAATGCTCTACTATTTTGCAACTCATCTATAAATCTAAAATTGACCATGCTTGCTTCGGCAGCACATATACTAAAATTGGAACGATACAGAGTAGATTAGCATGGTCCCTGTGCAAGGATGACGCACAAATTCATGAAGCGTTCCATATTTTAAAGAAAAATAAATAAATAAATAAATTGACCTATATAATAAAAGTGTAATATGCAAATGGACCCTAACAGCAGAACGACCAGTTGCTATGACATGCACTGACCATCAGGGGGCAGAGCTCAATGCAGGAGCTGCCCCCTGGTGGTCAGTGTGCTTCCACAAGGGGAATGCCACTGAACCAGAAGCCAGCTCATGGCTGGCCAGTGCAGCAGTGGTGGTGGGAGCCTCCCCCCGCCTTCGCAGCAGTGCTCCCAGGCTGCCAAAGGGATGTCTGACTGCCAGCTTACGCCCAATCCCCCGAGGAGCGGGCCTAAGCCATCAGTCAGACATCCCCTGAGGGGTCCTGGGCTGTAAGAGGGCACAGGCCAGGCTGAGGAGCCACCCCACCACCACCCAGTGCATGAATTTTCATGCACCAGGCCTCTAGTTTCAAAATAAAAAGTTAAAAATCAAGTTCTGGCTCCTCACTATATGGCTTATAAGGTGCCTCTTTCTCTTTCTGTCATTCTCTTTTATAAGTATTTTATTATCTAAGTTTTCAAATATTGACAAAACCCAGAGATTTAGTATAACCAGTCTCTATGTAGCCATCACCCAACTTCAATAATTATCAGCATTTTTCCCATTTTATCATACCCCTGTGATACTGTGACGTAGTAAGTAATATATATTTGGTCTTTCCAGGGGTTTCTGGCTTAAAACCCTTGGAATTTTCAGTATGATAGGGCCATTCCAGTAATTAGTGAACCTGGGTGGGTGGCGGGTGGAGGGGGAGTCATGGGAACCCACGAGTTATAGTCAGTCAGAAGAAGTACAGGAGGTCCGAACTTATGATTGGCATCTGAAGTGGGGGTCAGTGTTGAGGGATTAAGCTTACTCTGGGTATTTAGTGTCAGAACTGAATTGCAGGACACCCAGTTGGTGTCTGGGTAGTTGGAGAATTGGTTAGTGAGGGGGGAAATAACACACAAATTTGTTGTAAGAAGTGCTGGTAGGAAAAACAGCTAGTGGTTGGCTTCAGAGTGAGATTTGCTAGATTGGCCCTGGCTCACAGAACTATGTGGTGGGTTTTTTTGTTTGTTTGTTTTTTAATTGATTTTAGAAAGGGAGGGAGGGAGAGAGAGAGACATCAATGTGAGAGAGACACATCGATTGGTGCCTCCTGTTTCCGCCCCAATGAGGAATCAAACCTCAACCTAGGTATGTGCCCTAACTGGGAACCAAACCCAAGATCCTCCAGTGCGCGGGACGATGCTCCAACCAACTGAGCCACACTGACCAGGGCCAGAAATATATGGTTTTGATGCCTGAGAGGTCAGTCCCTAGGGGAGACTCAAGCCCTAAGCCAAGAGGGTTCTTGGCTTCTCGTAAGAAAGAATTCAAGATGTGAGCCAGATAAAAGGGTAAGTGGAAACGTAGATTTAACTGAGCAGAGAGGACAAGCAAAAAAAGCCACTCCACAAACAGTAGCGGATTCTCCTCACGAGAGAAAGAAAAGAGACCTCAGCCCTCTCTGGAAGTTGAACTTCTATCTGCTTATAGTTTTGTTATTGGTGGGGTGCCCTCTGCATCCCTCCCTGTTACTGGTGGAAGTGGAGATTTTACGATTTCTCAAGGAAAGGAATTTCCTGAAACTCTTATGAGAGGATGAGTGATTTTTATTTCCGTGGAATTAACCCCCTGGGTTCCCACTGTCCCGCCTCTCTTCATCCTGCCATGGAAGAAGTCCAATCTTGTCTGCAGCAGGGCGAAAATAAAAACTGGGGCCCAGAGTTTCTGCTCCATTTTAAAGTCTGGGCCAATCCAGCCTCCTGAGAGTGAGTCTGCATGGCCCACGCAGACTGCTTAAGGCCACGTGGAGGGTGAGTGCAGGGGACAGATGTGGCTCAGGGAGCAAGAGAG